GACAGTACAAAGTTCAGTAACAATCAATCATCCTGTCAAGCCTTCCTGATTTTGGCGTAGACATAAAAGTCCATTGTTATGCTACACTACTAAAATCAACCCATTCTCTAGTACTCAATTCATCTAGACTCTTCTCAATTACTTCAAAGTGATCTAAAACAACTCATCAAATCTATGTAAGTTCTACTGAAGTCTAACTCTTAACTAGAAATTCCTAACCTCCACACACCCTGCGAACTATTGGCCTTATGCATACACCAGGGGATGTATTGTTGCCACAAACAGGTACCCCCAGGTTAGGCTATGGTTTCCAAGCACAGCTGGTTCAGGGCAGCTTGTTCTCCATAGTTCTCAGGGCCGAAACATTCCTTTCCTAACTATATCTTTAACAATTTTTACTTCTTTTGTGATAGTTCATGCGCAAGAACAATGAGCCAATTGTCACCTGGGTCCGAATTAGGTTTTCACAGGCCAGTTAATAACTAACTTACTTCAGCATTAACCAAGAACAAAGAGGAGAGCATTAGCAGGCGTTGCCATGAAGACTCCCTAGTTCAGATCTTCTTTGGGAAGTGTAAGAACTCCCCTCTTCTGGGAAGTACAACTTTCCCTCTTCGGGGGGAGCACAGGAACTCCCCGCTTCTCGGGAGTCACCCCCAATGCCCGGACCATGTCAAGAGACAGCATGGGAGGCGCAGCCTGCCGCAACACCAGACGGGCCGGTCTGTTTGGAGGGATGGAGACCCAGATGGAGGCACCAGGAACACAGTCCGGGGGACTGACCATGCAGAACAGGCTGGTGGGCTTGGGGTTTCCAAGGCTTTGCTGTCCTCGGACGATGTGGCTGAGGCGTGCTACAATGGGACAGGTGGTGGCTTCCTGAAGTTCAGGTCGAAATAAATAACGAAAAAAAAGCAGGCAGCTGTGAAATAATGTTAGTGGATCTGGTCATTTGCTAGTAAAATAGGTCACAACCTGCCCTTACTTTTGCAGGAGGCTCGATGCCTTCCAGACTAAGTAACTGGCTGGGCCTGGTGCAAAATCTAAATGTGGGTATCTTTTTTACAAATAAAGAATTTCAAGAAGATGACATCAGGGCATTAAAATGAGCATGGGGCCCAAGTGGCAGCACAGCCCCTGCTCCTAAGGGGCTAGTCCCAGCTACTCTTTAATTTCAAGAAGTCTACCAGATGGTCCAGCCATCCAAGTGTTCAGAGCAAGTATCATTTTGGCTGCTCAGCATCAGCTGCCCCTCCTATTTGTATGGATCCTATGGGGGACATGATCCCCACCCGCTCTCCCAGCCTCAGGCAAGCAGGTGCTGTGCCCCAGGATATTGTGTCTCCAGGGAGTGATGCAAATGCCCTGGGTCCCTGGAGACACTTCCTGGTGCTGCTGGCAGAATTGTGAGGTTGGGCAAAGGAGCAGAAGGGGTGGCTGTGAGTGCCCAGGGGGTACGGGGTGTGGCCTGATCTACCTTTTCTTGTGCTGCATTCTCCACCACCCATTCACTACCACCCTCCCTTACACCACCCATTCCCACGTGGAAATACATGGGGCGGGTGGGGAGTGTGTGTGAGCCGCCCTCAGATGCAACAGTTCACCAGGAGGACAGGCCGAACCTTGCAGGGTTGTCCTACAGATGTGGTTTACTACAGCAACAGCTGGCAGATGGTAATCAGAGTGAGAAGAAAGAGGGCCTGAGGAAGGGTCCAGGAGGGTCGGGAGCAAGTCTCCTGTGCCACCTCCCAGCAGGGTCACAGGCACGCTGGCCTCTCCCGCCAATACCGACACAGGCTGTCACCCGAGCCTGGTGCAGTTTCCACGGGGGTAGGCTCATGGCCAGAGGTGACCACCTGCAGGGCTAGTTGGCTTCAGCATCCAGGAGCCCCAGAGGCAGCTGATGCTGCTTGTCCCAAGGCCCCCGCGGTATCACGCTTGGTGTAGACTAACATCTGCAGAGCCCGGGCCTTCCCCAGGTAAAAAAATGCATCCCCACCAGACAGAACCCCTCATGGGCTTCAGGCACCTCCCAGGAACTCGAGGCAAAGACCATGCCTTTCTTTGGTGGGGGCTACCCTTCCTTGCACTCCAAGCTTCCTCCTCCAACTCCCATCCATTTCTCCTGGTGCCCAAACCCTTTCTTAGGAAGCCCTTCCAAAGTGCCCACTGCTTAGACACTCTGGGGTAGGCACAGTGGACACCCTGGTCTCTATTTCCCACGAGTCAGCTGAACCGGAGAGGTGTCGGAAGGTCTTCAAGGTCACTCGGGTCATCCTCTTGTCCCCTCGTCCTGGGACCTCGGCCAGTGCCCTTGGGCTCCATCCAACTCAGCTGCCAGGGCCAGCTTCTGCCAGGAGGAGTCAGTCATTGGAAAGGTTGAAAGACTGAGGTCAGCTGAACTCAGCTCAAATATTTGGGGATCTGAATAAAAACAACATACGAATACCTGCTGACATGAACCAAGCATTGGCCATGGGCAGCATCCTCAGGAAAATACAGGGGCAACAGTGGGTGGAAGAATTTCTGTAGCTCGCTGCAAGTTTTTACCAACAGCTTCTCTTTGTAGGGGGCACTGGCCAGACTTCCCAGGGCATTTGGCAATAGCAGGGGGCATCTTCACATCCACTCGCTGGAAAACAAGCCCCCAAGACATTGCTCTTAACCCTGAGCTAGAGCCCAGTCCTCTGCAACACACACATCTTGTCCTCGGAGACAATCCCCTGCAGCCCTGCCTCCAGCTGGCCGCGTCTGCCTCGGGGAGCCCTAGGAGGAGATGATCGCTAAGGTAACCACAGGCCCTGGGGTGGGCAGGTGCAGACACACAGCAGCTGCTGCAACTGTGCACGCAGCTGCTGCCCAGCCCTGGAGGGATCCCTGGGGCGCTCTGCCAACAGAAGCCTCAGACCCAGGCTACCTGGAGAGAGATGCCTGGGGAGAGGCTTCCTGGTCTCTGCAGTGCTTCAGTGGAATCAGGGAGTCCCTGGGACCATAGAAACCATTGTTTCTAACTGGGGATACTGAGGCCAGGAGGCAGAAATTAACCTCTATGGTCCTGACACCTACTTCTCCTTCAGGGGTGACCTCTTGATGCAGTGGCTCTGCAAGGGCCCTTCAGAAAGGGGTTGAATATTGCTGCAGTGGACAGTGGAAACCATTCATTCAGCAATCATTTATGAAGGCTGCCATATTAGGACCCAGGGCTACCATTCAAAGCATAAACTGGGTGACTTAAAATCTCAGAAATTCATTCTGATACAGTTCTGGAAGCAAGAAGTCCAAAATCAAGGTGTTGGCAGGGCTGTGCTCCCTCTGAAGGATCTAGGGGCGGGCCCTTCCCTACCCCTTCCCGCTGCTGGTAGCCCCAGACATCCTTGGCTCCTGGTGGCCTCACTCCAGATGCTGGCTTGTCCTTCCCACCTTGACATGGTCTTTAGGCCTGAATCCAGACCATCTCCTCCCAAGATGCCTAACTTCATTATATCTCAAAGACCTTTCCCCAAATATGGCCCTGCACGCCTGTGGCCATACCCTGTGAGCATGGGGGGAGGGACAGCCGACCACACCTACTGTGTGCCAGACTGTTCTAAGGCTTGGATGCAGCAGGGGGCCTCCAGGCTGGGCCCAACTTCAGGAAGTCTTTGCTCCAAGGGGGGACAGGCAAACACCCTGTAATTTCTACAACTGCTCTGAAGAACACGTAGGAAGGCAAAGCGACAAAGAGGTCAGCGAAGCCCTTTGGGAGGAGGATGCAATTGAATGAGAGGGGTGGGGGGCCCCATGTCACCAAATCGCCATCGGTGCAAGTTCAGGGGCCAGGGAGGCAGCTGTGAGCCACAGACCCTTGGACTTCAGGGTTTGATCTGTGCAGGTCACTTATGTCCCATCCCCCACCCAAGAAATTCAAAAGTGTATTTTCTCTTCCTTATTTATTTATTTATTTTTTAAAGATTTATTTATTTATTTATTTATTTACACAAGCACTGGGTACAGTCAGAAGCGCGGGAGGGTGAGCGAATTCACCAGAGCCAGAGCGGGGAGCAGAGCAGGCAGAAGGACCGAAGGACACTGCTGAGGGGAGCAGCGGGCGGCAGGAGAGGTCTGCGCGCCATGCGGGACCCTCCTCCGGTGGCCAGGGAGCAGCCGGGGATCGAACCGGCGCTGCAGGGGCTGCGGGCAGCTTCGCAACCCAGCGCTCATACGACTGCGCCACCGGGGAGGCCCCCTTATGTTTTCTTAATAACGTTTTCTTCTCTCCAGCTTACGATGTTGCAAGGATACGTACAATGTAAGGGAGTATAACACATGTTGCTTCTCGATGATAAATGCCGAAACTATTATACTATTATCATACAAGATTACTTCGATTAAAAAATAAGTAAAACTTACAAATATATGTTAATGGGCTGTTGTGTTATTGGTGAGGCTGCCAGCACCAGAGGACCGTTTCTGTTAAGTTTGGGGGGCGTCGATGTGCAGGGAGGCGCCTCAGAGAGCAGAAACTCCACAGCTTGTGTTCCAGAGCTTGGGCTCTGGGGGCGCATGGGGCGCCCTGTGGGCCATGTACCTGCAGATGTCTGCGCAGCAGCACAAGGGGAGATGCTGGCACCTCAGACCTGCAGGCACCCCTTATGCGGTCCTCGCTGCCCCTAGTGGCAGCTCTGCCTTGCAGGGTGCTAAGGAGACGCATCTGGGTGGGTATTGGAGACTCCACAACGTGAGGACTTGACCTCCTGAAGTTTGGAGGTCACCGGCACTTGGCACCCCTTTCTGGAGCTGTGCTGGATTGGCAGTGAGGAGCGGAGTACTAGGAGGTACTGGGAGAGATGGGGCTCTTAGCGGTTGTGTTCCCCACACCCTCCACAAAAATATGTTGAAACCGTATCTCCCGGAACACTCAAGTCAGCTTCGCCACCATCTTGGATTCTTCTGCTCCCGGGACTGAAAGCTGACCTGGAGCCCAGGTCTCTGCAGGGACCTGGGGCCCAGACTTCCAGGAATTGAAGAAACCCTGCTGAGGCCACAGCTTGAACTAGAGGCTGGCCAGCAAAGGCCACAGAATGGCCAGGGCATGCTGCCTGGCCACAGATGCCAGGTACTCCAGGCCAGCTGTGCAGCCGGGTCAGGGGCTTGCTTATTGGCACAAGAGCAGGAAACAAAAATCCTTCAGGCTTTCTAGGCAGGGAGTTAGGTGCTTTTGAAATCTTAGGGATGACAAGGAATCCTGCCTCTGCTGATACTGCATTTCCTTGCACCTGCGCTTCTCTCAGGTCTTAGTCTGATCTTTAACATGCAGTAGCTGTCACGTCTCACAGTTCAGAAAAGGTAGGTGCGGAAGGAATGACCTCAAGCACCTGCAGAACTTCAGCAGAACCCACACGTCGTAAGAAGCATCCCATAAGCGCACACTAGGATTATTTGTTAAAACCTTCAGCAAATGGCCGTCAACATCCACTGAGATTATGGTGTGTAGGCTCTTCAGTTGTAAATGGCTTTTTAAAAATAAAATCCTGTTGTTAATTAGTAACTGCAGAGGGGGCCGTCCTGGTCAAGGGTTTGGAGGCTGCCTCTGTGTGTCTAGACCAAGTTCATGAATACATCAAAGAGTTCCAGCTCCCAGGTGGGATACCCCTTCCTCCGCGTTTCCAACGGGGTCAGCAGCTTGCTCAGGGAGATTATCGTGTGGCCTAATTAAACAGTTGGAAGTAAAATGATTTTCGCAAAGTTGAAGAAAGACGACAGCGATATCAGTCATCTCTTAAAACGACAGTGTTAATGAATGCCTTTTTAATTAGGAATTCACAGGAATTTAATTTGCGGAGGCAGGAGGGTGTGGTCCCAGGGGCTGTGGCAGGAGGGACCTGCCTCCAGGGTCTTGTCTCCAGACGCATGGACTAGAGCAGGTTTTCTAACCTTCCCAGGTCTTGTTTTCCTATGAAAAGTGAGCAGAATTAAACAGGTGTCGTCTATTAAACAAGCTCACCGAGGAGCACCTGCTCCAGAAAGTATCACTCCGACAAAAATGTGAGCTTAGCATCATCACAGCCTGACCGACTCGCTCAGCTACCAGTGCGGGGGAGCCAGCCCCTCTTTACCAGAGTGGCCGGTGTTCTCGAACTACCAACACAGTCCCCCCCAAGACTGCAAAAACCATTTAGCATGGCAGGGCCAGCACTTACAAAATACAGAGACTAATAGAATAATAAATCAGAGTAAAGGCAAATATTGTCTGGTGAAAGCTTACTTCTTAGTTACATGTGAGTACACCAGTTTCATTGTGAAATACGCTTCTGTTATGGATTGCCACCCCAAATTTCACCCTGCCCCCCCCCCACTGTTCTAAAACCATGGTGAAGTACACTCTTGCGACACCACCTCCCAAACCCCTTGCAACTGACACCAAAAAGAAAGATTAAAGCTATGAACACACGGCCACCCTGGTGGCGCAAGGGGTTAAGATGCAGCCTATGAAGCTATCGGCAGCCACTGCAGCCAGAGTTCGATTCCCAGCCAGGGAGCTACCCACATGGCACAGCAGACCTCTCCTGTCTCCGTGCTGCTCCCCTCAGCAGTGTACTTTGGTCAATCTGCCTGTTCTGTTCCCCACTCCGTCTCTGGTGGATCCTCTCACCCCCCACACCTCTGGCCTGTATCCCAGTTCTTGTATGCAGAAATAAATAAATCTTTAAAAATATAATAAAGCTATGAGCACAAATGCCACTAAAATGAAAAGTGTGGAATTGGTGGCCCCAGAGGGGAAGGCATTGGGGGTCAGGTGAAATGGGTTGGAAGGGGTTCAATTTTGGTATGGTGGATGGAGACTAGACTTTTAGTGGGGGCCCTGAGCAGTGTAGACAGCACTGAGTTGTAGTGTTGCACACCTGAAAGTTGTCAATGCTATAAACCAATGTACCTCCATAAAATCTATTTAAAAATATCTAGTAGATATTTTGAAATATTTAGTGTCAGGGCCTCCCTGGTGGAGCAGGTGGTTGAGCGCAGCACTGTGAAGCTGTTGCAGCCTCTGTAGCACAGGTTCGATCCTGGCCGGCTGGGAAGAGACCTGCATGGCACGGCAGACCTCTCTTGTCTCCCTCGCTCTCCCCTCAGCAGTGTGTTTTGTCAGTCTACCTGTTCTGTTCCCCGCTCTGTCTCTGGTGGGTCCTCTCACCCTCCTACGCATTGGCCTGTACCCTGGTTCTTGTATGTGTGAATAAAGCTTAAAAAAAAAATATTTAGTGACATTCATCAAACGAGGCAGCCTCAAAATAGTCATCAGGCTGGCAGGAGTAGGCCAGTCCTCCAACAGGCCATGTGCCCCGGGAAGCCATTTTAGAACACCCCAAAAGCTGTTTGGGGGCTTTGTCTAAGTCACTCTGGCTCTGGAACTTACACTGAGGAAATCATCAGACAAATGCCCATAAAAAGGAACTGATTAAAGATACAGCCAACCATGGAATCCCATGCAGTCACTGAAAATATTTGCGATTGTTGCCATGGAACGCTCTTGCCACATGGAAACAGAGCCTGCCCTAACTCAGCGTGGCTCCTGCTGAAACACACCTACATGTGGGCGCCTCAGCCTGCACATTTCATTAGAAAGGGTCTGAAAGAGCTGCACCCACCGGGTGGCAAGATGCCAAGTACTCCTCTGCCCACCTTTTTCTTAGGAGCATTCTGACTTCTCTGTCGTGGCTATTACTTAAGGGTGGACACTAATAAAGGTTTGCAATGTGTGGTACCTGCCATTACTCGAGCCAGGAACGTGGGGTGCTCACCCCACCTTACTCCTTTCATAAGTACACATTCGACCAGTGGTGGGAACCCCTCCCCTCCTGGAAGGGGTTGGTAAGCCATTTTACCCAAATGCTTGGTTTCCTGGTTGTTACACGGCTACGTGGCTGGTGCATGGGTCTGGTGGCTTCTAAGGCGTGAAGGTGAAGGAGCAGCAAGGTTGCCTAAGCATCCCAGGTGTCTCATAAGTCCGTATCGAGGTGTCTCATACTGGGGTGATTCCTAGCCAGAAAAAAAAGGGGATTCAACATTAATCAGGAGAACGAGAACAATCCATTCATAATCCAAATTCTAAAAGTTAATGCTCAGCAAAGCCAGTTTATTAGATGGGACAATTTGGAATCACAGGGAAGTCTGGAAAAGGTGAACAGAGAGGTAAGAGGGAATGGAAACTTGGTAACTACACAATTTTGTTAGAAGACAACTGGAGCGAGGAAAAACTCTGGTGCTGGTCAGTAGGAGCTTTGCGCGGGGCTGTTCTGAGGTCCGTGTCTGGGCCGTGGTGAAGGGCGGTGCTTGGCCACCAGACGGGCCAGCGCAATTAATCTTTGTTCAATCAACCCAGGATTTCAATCAACCTGGCAAGATGTCTATGCATTTCCCTTGTATTTCACTCACTGGTTAACCCTGACGTTATGCTATTTCTGACCATCCCAGAATTTATATTATGTAGCCATATTGAAGATGAAGTGAGAACATAATGAAAGTAATTGCAGCTTCAGAAATACCTACTTACTTATAGACCACCCACCCTTCCTGAGTGTGGCGTTCTGATTCCTGATCTAATCCCTTTGAAAAGACACCAAAGGGGGTCTCCCTGGGGGCGCAAAGGGTTAAGCACCGCACTATGAAGCAATCCGCAGCCTCTGCATCACAAGCTCAATCCCTAGGCGGCCAGGGAGCAACCCATGTGGCATGGCAGACCTCTCCTGCCTCTCCTGCTGCTCCCCTCAGCACTGTATTTCAGTGGATCCACCTGTTCTGCTCCCCACTCTGTCTCTGGTGAATCCTCTCACCCCCCGCACCTCTGGCTTGTACCCCAGCCCTTGTATGCATAAATAAATCAATCTTTAAAATAAAAAGACACCAAAGGTACTTAGGACACACCCCCTTCTCTTCATCTGCCAAAAAAATTGTATGTTCAAAGCAAAACAGTGTGCAGAAGCCGCCTCTTTCTCTCATTACTTGAATCATCAAAGTTCAAACCCGATTTCACACACTGATGCTCACATGCTGTTTCTTCCTGAAATATAGAGCAAGGCCCTCTGCTCGCCCTGCGGAGCATCAGCCACTCCCCACCATCCCACTTTGCAGAGGCTCAAACTCCCCTAGCACAGCAACTGCTCTTTTTTTAGTCGCTTCTCTTACCGGTTGCACGCACTGGCCCTTCCCTAGGGAACAGTCGGCCGCAGACGCCTGGGACGTCACCTTGGGTGCGCTCAGGTCACTCACCGGGCCCCACACGCCTCCAAGCGGCCCCAGACGACTGTATTTTTCTTTGGTTAACCTTTTGCTTCCAGCTCTCCGTGCTGTCCGCTGCCCCTGCCTGCTGTCACATGCACAATTCGCTGCGAGAAGCTGGCCGCAGCCTGTTTGGTCAAGTCGGTGAACAAATACAACTTTCCCACTTCGGGTGTTCAATGTTTTAGCTTAAAGTTTAACGTGCGGGTTTAATGTTCCGTTCAAGGCAGGCAGGGGTGGGGGCTCTGACAGCTGACCAAGTGGAGCCTAGTCATCGCCGTCCTTTTCCATACGGACAATAAACAGCAAACAGCACACAGCACGCAGAAGCGTCTTTGCGAGTTAGCCCTAACCCTCCTCGGGCCCCCTTTTATGGCAAGATCTCCATGGAGGCCCTGTTTCATAGCGCCTCGTGTGGGCTGACACTGACCCTCCGGAGCTAGTGACTTAGAAACCTCATGAGTGGATGTCTCTCTCATGTCGCGTCTATGCTGAGTCTACGCTGAGCAAGCTGAGGCCTCTCCCCTCCAGGTCCCGCCATCCCCTGGGGGCTGTGCATTTATCTGCATGCTTGGAGCAAGGTCCACGGCCTCTGGGTGCCAGCTGGTGGGCTGGTGCTAGAGGGGGAAGGGATCATGTGGTGTGTCTCCCTTCCACATGCAGCCCTTGGTGAGACTGAGGCACGTGGCCACATGGAGCAACAGGAGGGACTGGGGGACATGGTCCCTGACAGGCACGGGCCCCCTACAGCTCTGTTCATGGGACAGAACACGTAGCCAACAACTAGCAGTCTTTAGCGGAAAAATAGTTTCTTACTTGCGTTTGTAAGCACACTGTGAAACTGCTATGTAATTATTTTAAGCAAATCCAATAGGAAAAAAATGATTTCCATTAAAAAGGTTCCAGAGTGATATTTATTTTTGAACTGGAAAATAAGCTTGAGAGATCATTTGTCTCCAGCAGAGGCTACTTCACTGGCTTATATACCGTGGGTCTCCCCAAAAGAGCAGGTCCGCGTCTGTCATGGTGATCCAGCATCGAGAATAGTTCCCGACACACGGGAGGTGATTAAGAAATCTCTGCCGAAGGACTACACTGGACAGGAGAAGCGGAAACACAGCAAAATGCAGTGATTTTAAGTGGTCTTGTGAATTTATCTTTCTCTGCTGAGTTACCAGGAGTGTCGGGGACAATGTTGAGAATCTAATTACAAGTTTCTTCCATCTGTATGTGTGTGTAGGCGCACGAGGAAATGGAAATCTAAAGGCCAGCCAAGGTACACAGGGAAATGTGGACACGTTCAGGAATGACGCTTGGTATTATTTCTACTCCAGAGGAAAGCTAGTGAGTCTGACCTGTCACGTGTGCCTTGGATTTAAAGCAAAACCCTGTCTTGAACTTGACTCAGCTGTGAAAGGCACACAGTGTGACATGGAAAATACCTGGGAAATGCAAGTTCCTTCATTTGCTGAGAGATACTCAGTGGTCTTTGAGCATAGCTCAGCCTATTTTTTTTTCTCCCTCAAAAACAATCAAAACAATCAAACATCTTGCTATTATTAAGTCCAAAAGAATAATTTACATTCGACAGTCCTATCACTTGAAAATTAGAAGTAAATTCTTCTTATAGATTGGGAAATTCACGCCAGCAAATGTAACAGTAAACATTACTAAAATAAATTCAGTGACCTTTTTAAAAAAGATTACAAAATTGAATTTATTGAGTTTCACACAAGATGCACTTATAAAATTAGTATTGAATGCCATTTTAACAGAAGAAATGAACATCATTCCAATTTCCCAATATAGTCTGCAAAGGAAATAAAAACTCTTCAAAAATGACAGCACAATAACAGAATAATTCAAGCTGAATAGAAAGATAAACCCAAATCATATTCTTGCTCTGATCAGGGCTATGTTTGGCAAAGTTTTCCCCAAACTATTCGAATTTGCAGTGGACACTGTTCCTTTTGATGGAGAAGGTAGGGAAAATGAATAATAATTCTAAAACGGGGTCTCATGGAAACATACACAAAACAATTAAAAGTCATTTGTAACTTAAAATACTTTCTAGTTTCACCAAAGCATTTCTGTACACTTTTACTCTATGGGAACATTCGTTTTCAGATGTCTTTAGTTAATGCAAAACATTAACATTCACTTTTGCGTTTCAAATGAACAAGGTAAAGCATTAAAACTTACTTTAAATTTCACCCAGGAAAGAGACAAATCACCTAAAATTTACTTTCTGTATATGCTTGACACATCGCAGAGCTGAAGTTCAAAATGAAAACCTCGAAGGAAGGAACAGTAGCAGTGACACCTGGGCACTCTGCAGAGAGAGGCAGCACGATCTTCATGAGCACGCAGAAGAGGTTTCTCAAGATCAAGGTGGTGAAGATGACTTGTCCATGATGCAGCTCACCAACGGGTCACCAACAGACGCAGATCCCTCAGCACACACAAAACCAGAAGCACCTTTGGGTGGCTGCTGCCCACGCCACTCAGTACCCTCTCTCGCCAGGGCAGCAGGTACCGGTCTGGTGCCGCTGGCCCACGCCCACACAGGTCACACACACATCCCCCACCCCCCGGCACCCCGACAATCAGACACCACCCACACACATACAGCATAGCCCCACCCCCAGCACAGGTGCCCCCCACACTTGAAAAGAGACTCGGATGGTTCTGTGAGCCCAGGCAAGAGGCTGCCACTGCCCCCTAGGGGTGTTTACATCAAACGACACCTTGGATCTTGCCCACTGACTGTTCCTCAGCAGGTGCAACAGCCGATCCTCCTAACAATTCATGAAGCAATGGGTTGTAAAGCGAAACCAGTGAATTAGACATTCGAGTTAACACTGCTCAGTATAAAAAGTGCCTTTTTATAAGGGAATTGCTAGTGTATTTGCTGTAATTCAACAACAGACAGCTCACATTTTGCTTAAAAGAGTAAACTGAAAAATCATGAGACATTTTCTCAGCAATGTATGACCTTCATTAACTCATATTTTAAATAAACCAACTGGCTTAGGGAGGGTTTTTTCCTCTATAAAATGCTACTATTCATCATGTCTTATTTAAGGGAGTCTTTTATTCTGATTAATTCAGATACATCTTCAAGGGTTACTCTGGTGGTAAGAACATTTAGTTTCAGTGTAATTATTTCTGTTGAATGCTTTGGCAGATGAAGTCGTCCGGACAGTCCGTGGGAACAGTCCGAGGCGGGAGGGAAGCCCGCGTGGCAGCTGCAGGACCCGGTGTCCTCGGCCGAGCGGCCTGGGGCGCGCGGCGCCTTCTGGAAGCGCAGCTACAGGAGGTGGCGGGCTCGGCGCCCGACCCGCCGGGGGCCAGGAGGAGCTCGCAGCTGCTCGGCCCCAGCCTTCAGCCGGGCCCCGAGACTGGAAGAAAGATACTAAGATTTGCTCTCCAATAATTTAAGTTTTTAAATAAATATTGACACGCCACCCGCAGCCTCTGTCCGTCCCGGCAGCCCTGGACGTGCGCCGGGCGCCTGCGGCCATGGGTCAGTCAATGCGGTTCCCGCAGATTGTGAACCTGTCTATCTCCAGCAGATCTCTCTTGGAGGATCTGTGCTTTAGTTCAGAGTTCTCCTGGGCTATGTCCTTCTCGTCGCCGTCCGGGGTTGTCAGAAACTGGTCGGAGTTGCTGGTCACAAGTAACGGCACGACGTTTTCCTTTGGGTGGAGCGGCTGGCTGGTGACCGAAGCGGACAAGGTCTCTTCTGTGGAAGAACAGACCCATTTTGTCAGAAAAGGGACTCCTGCCACAGCAAACACACACTAGCACACAGCCTGCCGAGAGAGGGGCTCAGCGTCAGGCTTCCCGGGACACAGGCGACAACACAAGCACGTGCTCAAGAGCCATCGCCAGCGTGAACTCGGCAGCTACACTGTTTGTTCACTCAGCCAGAATTCTCAGGGGGCTCTCACACGGTCACGTCACAGGTCAGATTCCCGCGGAGCACACCCCTTCTATAAAATCAAGTCCTCACACAATTTGCTGGACCTGAAGGCCAACACTGGCTCCCATGCTCGGGACACTGGGGCCCAGCAGGTGCTGGACATTCCCCCTCAGCGTACTGTCACCTCAGCTGCACCGGGTCAGCACGTCACATGTCCAGGAAGTCCAAGCCAGAGGTAAAGACCATGCAGCAAAACCCCCTATGCTTCTGTGGGCCCCAGGGCTCCTGGAGCCTGGCGCAGGGAGCAGCTGGCTGGGAAGGGAACCCTGTGACCCTGGAATCATCCTCACAGAGCAGCTGCCTGGAGGCCACAGCCACGCCACACACTGTGCAGGCTTCCAGAGAACCACCTGACGAGTGCAGACAGATGCACACACTTGCCGAGACCATCCCCGAGGCTGAGACACTGACACGCTTGTCTCTCTCCTAGTCATTCCTCCCGGCCTGGTCCCTGAACTCCGCTGCCATTCCTTGTCCCCTTCAGAACACGATGAATGGGAGGCTGTCTTGAGAGTCAGCATCCCTTTTCACCCCCAAAATGGCCCAAGCGGCCCGACTGGCAACTCCCCCACTAAATGCTCTCTGGCCTGCGGTGTCCTGGCATCAGACTCCCTACACAGACACTTGTCGGAGAGGAGTATTTTCCTACTTGGTCCTGGTCCGATGGCCTTGGACTGCAGCATATGCTCAAGGCTCTACCCCACTAGATTAGAAACTTCTTGAAAGCAAGATGTACACACTAATTCCTTAAGGCACTGAAGAAGCCCAGCATAACAGAAGCCTTACAGACCCTCCAGGAAACAATGTAATCTCATGTCATTAGTGCTTACAGAAAAAATTCTTCATAGGATTCTTTATAGGAAAACAATGATGATACAAGTTTTTATCTAACTTCATTTACCTTCCTGTAAAACATATACTTGACCAATACTCTCACTTTGGACAAGACTGGCTCAGTCCAAGTCTCACCTCCTGCCCCTTTTCGAGAGCAAACTCCACACTCCCAGAGCACTGAGCGCAAGTCTCTGGATGCCTGCCCAGGCCTTGGTGATTTCGCTAAAGTCGGCCCCTCTCCTGAAAGGTCGCTTCACCCAGCCTAACTCTTCAGGACTGAGTTCAGGTAGCACTCTCTCCAGGAAGGCCCCTCTCTTGCCCTCCACTCCCACGTGTCTGGACGGCCACCTGCACCAGCCCCCAGCAGTCTGTGAGCCCCGACAGGCACAAGCGACTTCTCTTCCTAACTCCAGCATCTCCGATGCCACTTGCACGGTCGCGCCACACATTCAGAACAAGCCAACTAGACTAAAGTCCTATGAACAAGCACTTGTAGGAAAAGGGAGCTGCTATCTAGTAACCACAAAGCAAGTCAGTGTCCCACTTGTTCCTCCAAGTCTTCAGGTCAGAAACCCTGGCAACGTCTACTCCTTGTTCTCATGCTGCACAACCTCAACAGCCAATCCAGGGCTTCTTCAGGGCTACCCAGAATCTGGTCAGCAGGAACGGGAAGGAAGGTGTCGGTTCCCCCAGATCCCATCACTGCCCTCTCCCCGCCTGCTGGAGTTTCCTCTGAGCACTGACTCCCCAACACAGTGCAGACCCACTGGCCACCTTCGTGCCCTCCCTGACCATCTAGGGTAAGCCCTGCCTTCCTCTCCACGGCAGCCCCGGGCCTGGGGCCTGCAGGCAACAGGCCTCTTTGTCTCTACGGAGCGGTGACCACACCTCTGAACACCGAGCGAGGAGCCTGGGGGAGGGCTAAAGGGGAACATAGGACGCGAAGAGCAGTTAGGCCCAGTGCAGTCAGGCCCAGTGCAGTCAAGCCGGCAAGCGCTGCCGGGTGTGGCCCAGGTGCTACCTGTCAGGGTGCCCTCAGACAAGGAGCTCAGAAAGGATGCAGGCGAGGGAGAGGAGCACACATACCTTGAGCGGGTTTGCATTTGTTTTGCGATTTACTGCACGGCTTGCCGGGAGTGCTGGTTGGGGGAGGGTGACACAGCTTCTCCTCCATTTTGGCTTCCTTCACATATTGGCAAGATTTCCCTAACAGCACGATGCTATTAAGTACTTTCAGGGATATTAACCTAAAACCAGAAAGGAAACAGTCACTGCTGGGCTTCACCCGAGTGGCTGCAAGGGCCAGTGCAGCCCTCGCTCAATGAGGCGGCCCGAGGGCCAGAGTCTGAGCAGGTCCGTATGCAAAGCTTCCTGAGGCTTCTTCACCACAAGGGGACATGCTTGATAAATTCCCTAGTTCTCAATATAAGAAGTGACATGACTTAAAAGTCTTACCTGATGCTAAATTATTCAATATTTATTGTCTTATAAAACCAGTACGTTTCATGCAGGTGAATAAAAGGGACATGTAATTCCACACACGGTGACGATCGTGGCGTCTGCCGTGTGAGCAGACAGTTTCGCTGCTCAGAAACGGGGTCTGCTTCCTCAGGAGGTGGGAGCAGAGCATTGCACTGGGGGCCCGAGAGTGTGAATCCATGTCCTGACCCCAAAGTGGAGCACCTGTGTGTGCGAGTGAGCGCCTCGCCAGGTAGTCCAGAAAGGAGGTGATCCTGGGAAGGTGCGCAGGACGCGCGTGGCTAGAAACATCAGGCAGTTTTGTTATTTTGTCATCGCTATTGTAGTATGAATATCTTCTCTGCCGGTTAAAGTTTCTCAGTGACATTATTTTAACAGTCTCCTAACGCTTAGTTGTATGGGTTATCACGTACCGAAACTCCAAAAAAATCCTTAATTAATGGAGATTTAGGTTATTTCTAATATTTTGCTGCTACAAGCATTCTGATTAAGAACACGCACGCACGTTACACCTGTACTTGCTCGAGACACACCCCGAGCAGAGTGCGGGCTGCCGGGCGGCGGGGCCGCAGCTGACAGGCCCTGGGCCGGGCGGAGGAAGCACAGGCCCGCGTCTGCTTTGGGTTCCCATGGCACAGGCCCGGAACATGCTAAATGCTAATGTGGCAAACACAGTAGAAACCCGAAGATGCTCTTAAACACATCGACATGTCTAATGGCAACGGCAGATTTCATCATAAAAGAAAAAATGGGGGAAAACCATCCTAAGCAAAAGCATTTAGGTAAATGATTTTATGACAGATTAAACAAAACAAAATCTAACATGCCGCTAACACAACTATCAAGTAGCAGCGCACTTAACCTAGCAGCGTGGCAACGAGGTTCCTATAAACTCCCATTACATCTGCACTCATATGTGACTAGAGAACCAAACACATGTGCAAGAACAGTTCATCTTACCCCAAATAGAAGAGGATGACACAGGCATACGACAGGATCCCCTGCACTTTAATTGAGCTTGTTACGACTCTGATGAGCTGGCCAGAAACAAACCAAAACAACAAAGACACACAAACACAGAGTTATCAGTTAATATCTAGAAAAGGATCTCTCCATACTGATTCTAACACTTTCGGCCTACGCTGTGGCCTGTCTAAATCCACGTAAGTTGTTTTAGATTTGTCAGTTTGTGCCTGGTCACCTGTGAGCCTGCAGTAGATCTGGATTTGCTTGGGGGACCTACGGTCTAGTCAGAGGAGGGTACCCCTGGTTCATGGATATCGTTTACTTGTGCCCAACAGAAATGCAAGTCAATTGATTTTTGAAACAGAAAAATAATCTGGAAAGTAGAAATCATCTCATCTCCCCGGACGCGTCTCTACCAGAGCTGAACCGGTGAGTGGGCTTTTCCCTTATTCTTGCTTCTTTTGTCCTTCGGTCTTGAACTTTTTTAAGAACCTCCCAATGACTTGCAGAAACAGAGAAACAAGGGAATTTTAGGAGTTTTGTGCTGTTGTTAAAAAACGAAATACTATTACAAAGTAATTTACCTAGAGGTTGGAAAATGTGTCTCTCTTGGATAGTGACATTGAACACCTACTTTCTTACTTCTCTCCCAGGAATAGAGGTGGACAGCATTATCCTGAGATGTCCGCTGAGCCAATCTGGTAGACTCTATCACCAAAACGCATTGATGCCTATTGGATTCAGGATGGGGCTGGCCCACTGTGCGGGCCTAGCTGGACTCTACATGGAAATGGAAAATGAGGGAAAATCGCTCCCCTTGTCTGCTAATGTTATCACCAAAGGGAAGAGTCCACTAGAAAGTCTTAAATAAATATGACAAGATGATTTTTAAATGACATTAAAAAAAGTGCCTTTAATCCAAAGAGCCATTGGGAAGAGACAGAGGGACTGACACGGCGTATGTTCACACAGTTCCACCGTGGGGAAGAAGAGAAGCCGGCACCTCTGTCAGTCTCTAGCAGGGAAATGATCTGCTGTGCAAATATTTGTGATGGGAATCAGAGTGGCTCCTACAGCAATATAAACAGTAAACCAACATCCCACTCAAGGCTTTACTGACTACACTTTCATCTAATATATTAATAATGTTAAGATATGCAAACTTCAAAGTCTAATTTCCATGAGAACTTATTTCATGATTTCCTTGAATTTTTTTATATGAGTCCATTTTAGGACCAAGGTAATATTTTAGAGGAAAAATTGCCACTCTTGGACTTTAATTAAAGAATCCACTGATTACTGGGACCTTGGTGTATTTATTCTACAAGGTTCCCTGATGTCTGCCAAAGCTGGAGTGTCACCCTATAGCTGCGGGAGGAAAGTGCTGTGAAAGAAACCCCGTAGGCCAATGCACAACCACACAATTCCCACAAAAACAGAGGCTTTCCCAAAGGGTTTATTAGTCAACTACTAATTAAGCTTAAGTCTTTTGGCGCAACCACTGTAAAAACGCATTAAAAGAATAAAACTAAGACTGGAGGATAATTTAAAAATATTAAATTAAAAAATTAAAGTCACACTAATAGAATTTTATAGAAATCAGTTACTAGATAATCAACTATTATTTGGCAAAGTAGGACCAAATTTAAATCAATTTATTTGGATCTAACCAATCCTTTAAAAAAATTAGATAATCTAGGTTTATCTTCACACTGTACCTGTCATATTTTCAGTTGTAGGGAACAAATGTACAAAAATTTAATACTCTATTTTATCGGGCTCCTAAACTGAAACACTTTTACTCTTTAAAATCCTCCACACTTGCAAAAATTCTAGGACTTTCTCTTCCCAAGCAAAGAAAGTTATATTATTATATAATAAGCAAGCCACCAATAAAACTGAAAACAATGATGATATATATTTGCATATATACACACACAAAGGAAGCCTACTGAGTGATGAAAAAAGATGAACACTTTTGCCATTTGTAACAACATGTATGGAACTGGAGGGGACAATACCAAGGGAAATAAGTCAGGGGAAGAAAGAAAAACACAGATGGTGTCACTTATATGCGGAATACAGAGAAACCAAGCGAAAGGACACACAGAACCAAACCAGACAACAAACCCTAGAAATCTGACTGTGGAACTGAGACAACCAGAGGGCACCGGGAGGGTGGAGAGCGGGTGTGGAGGGGCCCAAATGACTAAGGAGGAGGCGTTGGTGCTGGGTGTGGGTGGTAACATGCACCTGAAGGAGGTGTGATCCTGTACCTCTGAATCGCATTTGGTGTTGTAACCAAAGTTACCTCAATTTAAAAAAAAAGCTGGCCTGTAAATGGCAGTTACTACAAGCACAGTGGCTGTTACCTGCATTCTTAGCATATAAGCATATACTCTATGTGAATTTGAGATAAATGTCAACAAGCAAATAAAAAAACATTTTAAGTGGGTGACTTATTTTGGGCTGAATTTAGTAAATTTTAGTGCTATTATTTAAAAATATATGACATTCCTGAAATCTAATAGTAGAAATTTTCATTGCAAAAACTTAAAAAATTTTTAAAAAGTGATAATTATAATGGATCCAGAATATTTCTTCATTTGATCATAATTTATTTAACCTATTTCATTTGTTTCCAAATTTTTACCACTGTAAATGCTAATGCATTACAAAACTTGATCTCCAATCATCATGGACCTTTTAAAACTATTTCCTTAGGATAAAGCCCTAGACTGGAATTACTTCATCAAAGCAGAACAGTGTCAAACTGCTCTTTAGAAATGTCGGTTCAACTTGTACTTCTATTAGTATGTGTTACAGGGGCCACATCAATGCCTACACCAAGTATTTCCATTCAAAAAGCAAAATCTTTGCCAAAAAGAGTCTTCTTGTTAGGAAGGCCACTACACAGAGCAGTCCTTTACAACGCCAACCTACTGGGTGGTTGGAATCCAGGGCTATGCTAGAATTTAAAACACATTTTCCTTCCAAGGCATTTACCATCAATTTTTATGTGAAGTCCTTTGGAAACAAACTTACTGATCTAACACTCATGAACATTTTATGATGATGGCTATCTCTTTATAAAACAGGGAAAAACATGAGGGCTTACCAAGACAGCCAGCGGGAGAGGAATGAACCCCATCCTCCGGGCGACAGAGTCGCTGTAGTCAGTGTAAGCCTGGACAGAGGGAGAAGGGATTTATGGGGTTTAAGCGGCACTCACCAGCAAATGTTCTAAACCAGTCAGAAGGTGTGAGCAAGCAGGGAACCCGCCACCCATTGTGCCATTCAGTGAAATTATTCAGTAATCAAAATATCTCTAAGAAGTTTTAACTATGAAAGCTGTGTAATTGCAACAAGACTGCAAAAACTATGCTTCTTAGTCTTGTTTTTATTAACTTGTAAATGTGTAGTGTTGAGAACAGAGAAAAATGGGGAGTTTGTGTAGATTTCCCTAAACTGACACTCTACGCTACAGTAAGCCATGGCAGGTAATTTCAGACGTCTGATGTGATGCTCACGTTTTTCTGTCGGCTGCTAACAAGGTCAAAGGCAAGGCTGGCTCTGTATTCACTGTAGACCTAGAAACAAACAAGAATGAAACATTAACGTAGTACAAACAGATAATGTGTGAGATTTAGGCTTCACAGATGAAAATGTGTAATATTAACCAGGAAAAGGATGCCAGTAGCCAAGCAGACCCTCCGCTGTTTCCCTACAATCAGGGTGAATCGGCCTCTCTCTTTCAGGCCATGCCCACAGGCCTTTGGAAGCATCTCCAAAAGAGCATTATTCTATGACTATGATCCTCAGAGTTCGGAATTTTGGGATGAGTGGCCATTTTAAGTAGCATAACACATGCAAAATGAATGTGAAATTCTACATTATATGAACAGTTAAAAATGATTACTACTCTGTATCTAACATCAGCAATGCCTTCTCAGAGGGTGGACACTAAGCAAGATGTAACCCTGAGCTCAGCAGTCACGAAGGCGCTTACGAATTGTCACTTCCACTAAAAAGTGCACTAAGTGATGGATCATGCCTATTATTGGTATTTCGACTTCAGATGTTAAGAAAATTATCCCATGAAAAAGGAATGATTTGAGGAAGCCAAGAAAGCAAACAATAAAATGACTCTATCAGGGCTTCACAAGAAGTGCATCAAGTAATCCAAAACCCATCATCCAATCAATCACCAAGTGCGGCTACTAGCACACTGCACCAGCTGTAGCTGCACTAGATTTTAAATCTTTGTCTTTTGAAATAAAACAGTAAGTATCAGAGGAAGACAAAGTACAACCTAAATAAAATCTAGAAAACTTAAGTAATGCACTAGGATATTGTTCTTGTGTTTTACAGACAATGAACCTGGGGCAACATATCTATTCCTGGAAATTCTACAGAAAATTTGGTTCCAGTATTAAAAATAAACTCTCAGAATTTCATCAAATGTTTTCACCAGAAATTTATAAGGCTCTTGTCTTCCAGAGTTTTTCAATCACATATTCATAATCACAGAAGAAATAAATCTATTTCTAAATATAAAATATTTTAAAACTCTAGCCAGAGAGAAAAGATTTGTTAGCCTAATGCTTCAATAGCAACAATATTTTTAAAAGTTTAAGCAAACAGGTTATGACAGTATTTATAATGACCCTGAGTTAATAACACTTTGACTTCAACTACTGGCCAACCTATTCCTCCACCCAAAAGTACCGAGTCAGGACTATTTAGTATTGAATCGTATACTTTCAGAAGAGTTACAATTTTTAGAAATTTGAAATTGCACGACAACTTTGAAGTGACAGTACTCTGCTAGTCTCTTCATAAAGACAGTAATAAACCTGCTATTTTACAACATTATGACAACAGCCTGATGTCAATGTCAAACACTGGATTGCTTCTTAAATACTTACGTCTGCAGTGATGTCGTTGAACTTGGTGATGAAGGCATGCTTTACTATGTCCACAGCAATTTCGGATGCGATCACCATACAGACGTCTGGAAACAACACCCAGAGATGATCTATAAAGAAAGGGGGACACAGAGAGTTAAATCTCCCATGATGGACAGAATCCATAGTGTCACAGGCTACCACAGAAATCTGAAATCTCCAAAGGGGAAAACTAGCTTTTAGTACATGGTCATAGAGATAGAATTTAAATATGCAACTAGTTTTCAAGACCTAAAATGCGGGCCTCCCTGGTGGCGCAGCTGTTGAGCGCTGGGCTGCGAAGCTGCCCGCAGCCTCTGCGGCGCCGGTTCCATCCCCGGCCACCAGGTGAGGGTCCCACATGGCGCGCAGACCTCTCCTCTCAGCAGTGTACTTCCTCAGTCTGCCTGCTCTGCTCTCAGCTCTGACTCTGGTGAATTCTCTCGCCCTCCCGCACTTCTGACTGTACCCAGTGCTTGTATAAATCAATCAATCAATCAATCAATCAATCAATCAATCAATCAATCTTTGGAGGGAAAAAAAAAAAAGACCTAAAATGCAAAACATAATCTCATTCCTGAAGAATAAGGTTATACAAAAATGTATGACATAAAAAATCCTCAAAATGACCTGACTTAACTGAGTGAGTGATCACTGTCCACCAGCTCACCTCAGCAGCACCAGACTATGCTAGAACTATCTGTCTATTCCTCAACTAGCCTGGAGTCCCACAAATGTCCTAGGACTTATGCACATGCCACGTGCCCAGCACACGAGAAGCACCTGGCAAAGGTCAGCTAACTGGGCAGGTGGTGGAAGCGCTTGAATTCGCAACAACTTCCTGTTGCCTTGATTCCGATGCACATAAGCAACCAAATTTACAGCTTTACAATGCATCTCTCTAATTCATCTTTACTCAAATGCTAATAAGCGGTGTGAGTAAAAAAAGGAGTAGAAGTTAGGGAAGAGCAAAAGTCTTGGTGAACCTTTCAAATGAAAAGGACGTGGTTGTCTTCAGGGAGGCACAGCAGCCCGCCAGCTCCAACCATAAACAAAGGGGATTGGACGCTGCAGCGCCCGGCAGCACCCAGTTCTAAGATGCTGTGAAGGTTATGGGAAAAGAGATGCCAAAGGCCATTGCACACGGCAAGGTGCCCACCGAGACACAGAGAAGGCGTGCAGCCCATCCCACAGAACAGCTGCTTCTGGAGCCAAGCAATGGAGCAGTTGATGGGATAATGCTTATTTTATTCCACGTAAAAGAACGATTTTTGGTTCAAGAGTAAAATGAAAAAGCACTGTGTTAAGGGTTACTCACCTGGATTCCAGGAAAACTGTTCCATGTTTCTTAGACACACTATTAGCAAAAGCACATAATTTGTGAATCGTTCCTTAATATCTGAAAGAAAGTGAACGTATAAAGACTATAGTGCACATAAATAATAAAATATAATATACAGATAAAATGATTTTCTTTTAGTCAGAACAATACAACATTATATTATGTACAAATGTCTGTAAAATACACCACCTTCTATATCTATATGGGAGGGTGCGACATAGGTAAGCTACTTGCTTCCCTCACCAACATAATTCTAGTACGGGAAATTCCACTTCTCTACAAACTTCAAAAACCATCTAAACCCTCAGTCTGCATCAGACCCCTCCAATGATCTTTGGGAACAGATGACAATCGTCTTCATTTTACAGAAGAAAAGCAGAAGCAGAGAGGAAAACAGAAGACACTGGGTACACTGTGAGAAGCAGACACTAGGCGGCTCTGATCTCTGGGATCTAATAAGATAAAGTTTCTGGCGGTAAGTTCTGTGGCTCCACACTTCTCAGAATTAGAAAGGAGGCCATAAAGCACAGCTGAAAATTCTGTGCACGAGAGACCATGTGAGGTTTACAGTCAAAATTCTGCTCTCGGCAGCAATGTGAGGATGTGGGGATGATCCCCCAGCGCTCTGGTTTCCACATCTATAAAATGGCATCATATCCTCTGCTGCAAAGAAATTTCTGGATTAAGGAGATGCTTCAGAAAGCATGCTAAGGTGTTACACAAACATTGGTAGTGTTTTACCATCTTGAATATCCCATGGCTACAATAACCAAGATGAAAAACAAATTTAGAAGAGATGTTAAAAGAGTAAGAGAAAGCACAGCTTCAGTTAAAGAAACAGAACCCACGAGAACCATGACATTAATTTCAATATGAACTACAAAGGAACAGCCCAAAGCTGCAAGCAGAACCTGACTGTACGTACCGCTATTGGACATTTGAAAAAGATTGTTTTTTTCAAACTTCTTGAAAACACTTCCTTTAATTTCAACAAACTGAAATAGTAAACAAAAAACAATCATCATTATTGCTGTAACAATAATGGACATGCCACATAACATCCCAGAGAATAAATAACACTTAGGAAAAATGATTTTCTCCCATCCAGAAATTGCCCTTAACGTGATGACAGAACATAAAAAAATGTAAAATAAAAATCTCATACTTACATTATTGGACATCATGATAGTAAGCAGTGACTTGTTGTGTGAGTTAAAAGCTACGTTGAGGGTTGTTGCTTGAACCATTATAAGGATTGCATGCAAAACTAGCAGTAAGTGATGTCAAGGAAAAATCTTAAGTCTATTCTTATATTATCAATAGGTAATATTATAAAAACTTGAAAATGAATAATGAGGGGAAAAGATGAGTCTTGTCTTACTTATTTTATTATCTTTGAATTTCCTGTTAGCTATGACTGGCAGAATTTGCAGGACAGGTACACGCACCCCACATGGGACAGCCAAAGCAGGCGCAAAGCTCCGCATCATCTACCTGGGCCCTGAGCCTCTAAAACACAGTCATCTTTTTCCTTCTCAACGCTGGCATTTAAGAACAATGTTTGGGAAATAGGCCCTCAAAAAACTGTTATGTAAATGAAAGAAACGATGGCAAATACCGAAAGATGAGATCTAGGTATATTCATCCTGAATTAAGATAATTTGCCTCCTAAAATGCAAAGTAAAAGTCTGGAAGTTATTTTCCCCTATGGTTCTTCAGGGGAATGGAATGTAAGGCATTAAAAAATGTCTAACAATTAAGGTTCTTTTTCATGTTATTTTTGAAGACACATAAGTTGCAGGATTTTATTCTTAACTACATGTGGAATAGCTTATTTTGATTAGAACAGTAACTATTTTATTCCATTATATTTTGAACAAGCTATTACTCTCATAGAAATCTCCCCACTTAGACCCTTTCGACATCACTCTATTGGAGAAAGTACATAACAATCACATGACACGTTCCTGGGAATGAGTCCTGATCCCACATGGACATTAGTGCAGGGAAGCATGTGTGTGTCAGTGCATCATGTGGACACACACACTGTTCATATGGGCTATATAGTAAAGCCTTTACTCTCCAAAGTAAAAGCTTCAGAACTGGGGGTTGGGAGGGTAGGGAGGAAGAAATCCTTCCTCATCAGTTTCATATTTAACTTCTAGATGAATTATATACATTTTAAACTCAAGGTTATAATGAAGAATTCCTAGGTTTAAAGGACATTAAGAATTAAGAATTCCTAGGTTTATTTCAAGACAATGGCACTATAACTATGAAAAAGTTACACAGAGCTACATAAAGTATGTATAAATACATTATCCTTTTATTCTAAAATCCTTCCTTAATAATCAGTTACAGAGGAATAGAACTGTTTTCGAGGAGACTGAAAGGCACTGCATACATGGGGCGCCTTCATTTACAGTGACGCTTATTACCAATTTTTCAAAGGAAAGTAGACATTCACACGCATGCACACATGCTTTAATTCTCAGGACCAGCTAGCCAAATAAAACAGTGCAGCCTATGCACTGACTGTTGGATTATCTGGTGAACCTAAGAGGATACAGACATAGAGAACGGCCATGAAGAAGTGAGGAATCACCCCAATGTGGGCTCTCTTTCTTTCTTTGGGCTCTGTGGCTGTCCAGTAGAGCGCATCCAATATATCTTGTCCAAATGATGAAAACAGACGATCTGCTACCTAGAGAAAAAGGATTGGAGAAGCGTGTTTTAATTTTCTATTTAAGTATATTGCTAAAATTCAGCTGCGACTCCGATGCTGGACATCTGACTTCTTAAATGCCTCTGCAAGGCAAACTTTGTCTAATTAGCTGTGTTTGCAAACAAGTATTACATAGTGGCAAACTACGGAGAGGAGATGAGGTCCAGGCTTTTCTTTCTGTTCCAGAGCCAAGCAGGATGCTACTCTGGTTCAGGCCCGCCCACACCATGGCCTGTGTCCTCTGTGGAGGGGGCAAGCATATGCAAGAAGCGTAGACCAGGACGCTGCTGTGGCTGTGAGACAGCCAGTCAATGCATTTGAGAGCTGCATGGCGTCTGTGGAGAGACAGCTCCCAGCGTTGGGGCAGAAAGCCAGCAGCCCTAAAACCCTTCTTGTCACTCATTAAGAAAAATCCCTTCCTGGCTAAGTTGAAAGATAGGTAGACCATGCTTCTATTCCTAAAAAGCAGTAGAAGAAAATGCCACTTGAATCTCAAAAGTTTATTATATAACCTAAAATAGCTTATTATTTAAAAAACTTGTTAGATAAAGCAAAGCATTGTTTTTCTTTATGTAACTGCACAATTCATTTTTTGTACAAATGCTGACTTTCACAGGCTGATGACTTAATGTGAACTATATTATATTAAAAAATGAGAAGGGCTAGGAGAAATAGGGAAACAAGGCTACCTGCTCTATGCAAAAATTCAAAGCAGTTTAAAATGTAAGTCTATTACAGCACATACAGGCAACGCTAACATTTTGCTCATAATTTTAAAGTTCTAGAAAAAGGTACATGAGTCCCCAATGAATTTGTAAAACAAACTTTCCAAGCACTGACAATTTACATTCTCAAAGGGGGTACTGACTCAAAATGTCTAGGTGGTGGGCACCCACCTTCCCTACTGGGGACCTGCCAACCTAGGTGTGTCCCTGGATAGCAACCCGGCACCGCCTCCTCAGACAGGGAGCTGTCGGTCCCAGCCCTGTTCTGTTAGATCACAACCTGCATTTGAACAAGGCCCCGAGCGCCTGTGGAAACAATGAAGGCGGAACAGGGGTGCTGGGCTGCCTACGAGATAGCACAGGCAGCGGGGGAGAGGGCGGGATGCTCACCTCGAGCATGTTGTAGATGATGTAGAGCTTGATGACCGACTGCCCCCTTATCAGGTGGTACATCATGGAGTAGTCAACGTAGTGCATCATGAAATAGCAGATGACCAAAATGACACCCTTCAAAATGTCACACACCTGGGCAGGCTGGAGCAAACGTCTGTCCCTGAAATGCGCGAGAAGGAATGAGAACGTGAGGCTCACTGAGTCCCACTGCACACACTGGCATACAACGGTGACGTCAGGCTGATGTTTTAAAAACTTTGCTCCAACAAGGAAGACTACACTGACGGACTCCAACAGGGGGAGCTTTCCAGCCACGGCAGGAACCACGGGTTAAGCAGAATCACTACCAGCACTGGACGATGGCAGCGAGTGGGCACAGAACAGGTGACTGACAGAGCGCTTTAAAACCATGGACGGCCATGATGAAGACGGGCTCTGAGGCCCTGCGCCCGCTGACCGGCCCTTCCACACGCTGGCATCTGTGCCTGCGTCCCACACTGTACACTCACTACTGAGTGGCCTTACGAACTTCCCGTACTGATCCATCAGGTGCTGCTCAGCAGCGTGGGCCCTAAGGAGGGGCTCACTGCAACCGAGTAACGTTTTATGACGCTTCCGTCTTTGCTACAAACCACGATGCAAACCCATGCCACACCTTTCATAAAAGTGTATCTGCAGAAGTTCCTAGAACTGGACCTTCCAGAAACCCTGCTAGCAGCAGCTGAGTTGCCGTCTGCAAGGGCCGCTCCTGCTGACACCAGCACTGGGAGCCGGCCCAGCCCTTGCTTCTTGAACTTCTCTCATTAGGTGACTGGCCTTCTGAGCTCATGGTATGAGGGGCAAAACATAAATCACGAATGGAAACACCTTACTAAGACATCTGTGCAAAAATCCTACACACACACACACACCCCACACACACATGAAAAACAGAAGCAAGCAAAGATGTCTTTCGCTGGGCGTGAGCCCCTCTGACAAGATGAGGAGACACTTTCTCCAGGTCTGGCCTCCTGCCTGGCGGTTTCCATCAAGTGCACTCACAAGAAACCCTGAGCATGTCTGTGAGAACTGGGGATCTCCGTGTGCCCATGTTTTTGCCAGCATCCTGGCTCCCCCTAGAGGCGCGTGCTCCCAGCTGCCTTGGGTCTGAGCAGTCTAAGCTTAGAGGCGCCCTGGCCACCTACTCTCTGCATCTCGTTCCCAACCCTCATCCACACTCAGGTCGGGGGGGTTCTGTTCCTCCACTTCCCCCTCCCCCACCACAGAGTTCAACAAGGAAGCTGCATGTCTCCCCAACTCCACCCTGCACAGAGCTGACCAGGTGATGGGGAGCTGGGCTGCTGAGACAGAACCTCCTCGCCCTCCGACGAGGCCAGGGCACCTGGCTTGGCATCAGGCATAAGCGTGATCTGGCCACAGGGAGAATGTGGGAGCCAGCAAATGCCTGAAAAGAGGCCCATTCTGTGACATCTGGGGCCAGGAAGGACTACAAGCCAGTGGGGAGACCCTGGACCAAACCAAACAGCCTCAATGAAATGACAGGAAGAATTTGCTGAGGCCAGACCACATGTCTGAAAAATGGACACAACATGACTAGAGCTATTTTTAGCACCAAAGTTCTGAGCAAAAACCATATCTAGGACCAAGCTGACCACCCCCTACCGTTACTCCCAGCCCTTCTTTTCTCTGTGTGCCCCTCTCTCCCAGGACGCAGGCCCCTCCCCAGAGCAGTCTCTCCCATCTCCCAAACACCAGCCCAGAGCAGACCCTGCTCAAGAGCTCTTCTCCCACCAAGGTAACCCCACCTCCACTCCCATGGGATTGAACATGGAGGGGGCATGACACTTGTGACAGTTGGAGCTAGACATGTTTTTAATTCAAATGCAAGAAGAGGTGCTATTTTGAACACACAGGCTCCAGGCTGACGTGTGGCTGTGTCCTGTGGGACAGAGCACACTGCTGAGCACAGGCTGAAAATCACAAACCACACACAGACCTGGGCCTTCTACTCCGAACTATAAGCCGTAGTTTATGAATTAAAGAAAATATAAAGTAGTCTAAAAATAGGGTAGGGCCTCCCCTGGTGGTGCAGTGGTTGAGCGCTGGGCTGCGAGGCTGCCCGCAGCCTCTGCAGCGCCAATTCGATCCCTGGCCACTGGCGAGGGTCCCACAAAAAGGAAAAAAAAAAAAAGGGTAGTATAAATTCGTATTAATGACCAAAATTATTTGGTAACTAAAGAAGCAAATTATATTTAGAGCTTTGGCTACTACATTGGTTCTTCCTAATTTATTGATCTTAGTCAAAGCAATTTTATTTAAGAGACAAAGCATTTTCGAGTATCAACATCCAACTGTGTTCTTTATAAATACTTGCAGCCAAGGAACAATGCATTAGCATATCTGTGAAGAAATATTCTATTTAATACAAGTCATTTACAGAAATCAGAACGACCAAACACTGGAACATATATCCTAAAATAACGTAGCACCACACATTCTGAACCAAAATGATAATAAGTTAACATTTAAAATTAAGTGTGAGCAGCTTTATGTAGCCTAGGATTAAGTGAGGTTGTAAAAAAACACAAAAATTATAGAGACTCCTTGTGCTACAATTCAGTTGCTAAGTGGCAGGCACTTTGCACAGACTCACTTTTGTTTTCACAATAACCCACTGGGGGAGGCACCAATGCAGTCACCACTTGACAGAGGAGGCAGAGGGCGGTTAGCAGGTGCTGCAGCTGCGGTCAGGGAGGTAAGAGCGGGCAGAAGCAGAGCCTGAGGTCTGGCTCCAGAAAGCATGCTCTTCTCACCACCTTCCATTCTAGACCTCTCTTTAAAAGACTTTGAATCTTACAGGAATCAACTCAGTACCTTCTATCTTTCATCATAATACTGTATAATGTATCACTGTACTGTCATTTGGAAAAATTATTGTGCTACAAAACCAGTATATCTATCATTTTTGTTACTGATTTCTAAAAAGAAACCAATAGGACAATATTCCATTGAATCTACTGCTTTCTGTGCAGTCCCTGTTCTGGTGAAATCCTTCCACAGTTAATGTAATTAGTTGCTATTGGAGATGACTGATTTTCAAAATTAAGGAGTATTATTCAAATAAAGAATTAAAAAAAGCAAAACTCTTAAACAAAAGTTTTATTTGCAGTGTACTTCGGTCCTTCTGCCTGTTCTGCTCCCCACTCTGGCTCTGGTGAATTCTCTCACCCTCCCGCGCTTCTGACTGTACCTAGTGCATGTATAAACAAACAAATAAATAAATAAACATGCCTCTATTAAAAAAAAAAAAGTTAAAAAAAAAAGTTTTATTTGCACAGAAACAGCCCTGTTAATGAAAAAGCTGAAAAAAAAAAAAATCGTGTTAAGGCAGTATCTTAGAATATGACTGTATGCATGCTTTGTCGTCCCTGAGTGAACAAAGACAACCTTGAGATAAGTTCACCTGGTTAAACCCATTCGAACCAGTTCCAGATCTGTGTCCTTCTCTGCCGGGGTATTTTTAGATGACTGTCTAATAAGCATTTCCAAGTCCTTTAAGAAGCTTATCCACAGCCTTGTCAATCAACTGTGAGTTGGTTTTTGAATACCACTTTGGGCTGAAGTTCTTCCTTATAAATGCCTCTTAAAAGGTTTTACTGCAATTCATTTTGCAGACACTGAAAATCCCACATGAACACAAACAAGGGGAGTCAGCTGTTGGGCAAAGTGGAAAGCCCACTAATCTAATTTACAAGTTTGGTTTTGAGTTATCACCAGACAAGTAATATTAAACAAGACATTCAACAGAATTTAAGCATTTTCAAGTTAAACCACTCTTATAGAATCCAAATGTTTCATATTTCTAAATTTTATCTTTTATAAATTTAAATTTTTCCATTGGATCTGCACGATTACCAACCAAAGGCTCCGCATTCGGGGGACGAAGGAGGTAGTAGGCAGAGAGGATCCAGGGTCAGAGGGTCACTCCCCTCTGCAGCAGGAGGTAACACACTGCCAAGATGGAAATGAAAGCTGGTGGCAGAGAGAGATCAGGAAAGGGGGATGCGCAGAGAGTAGGAGAGAGGGGCCACCCTGCCTGGGGTGGAGACGCACCCGAGTCAGCTTGAGGTGCCACCTAACAGAATACGGACTGGCTTTTCTTTCTCTGACTCTGACACTTTTAGCTCTTTGTGGAATTGAAAGAATGAAGAAACACGTACTACTGAAATGTAAAAAAATATATTAACTATGGTTCCTAATTTTAAAAGAGAAGACCCTTTATAATGGTAAAGTGAATTCAAATAAAATATTGAGATTAAAATGCCTTCCGTAGGTAGAAAACTGAGTACTTTAAATCTTAAGCTTTCCTGTCATAGAATAGAAAAACAATTACTAAATGCTTAAACTAAATGATTAAAGCCTTTCCTTGGGCTTTAGAATAATTCCAGAGTGTACTAGGAAAATACTGGCTTTTTAAAAACCATGTTCAGTATTTGGAGTAACGAAAAATAAACTGTTCACATGGGCGAGAGTCAGCGCAGCTCACCAATGCCCAGTGGTACAAAGTACCTGGGGTCGAGTCTAGACCAACACGTGCTTCTTAGAGACCATGATTTGGAGTGACGCCAGGGGAGGTCACGGATAGCTCCTGTGTACGCACGGACACATTGTATGACCCCGTAGGAGGAGGAGCCATCCACCTGACGTGTCCATCTCCAAGCAGCTATGTCTGCCTGTTCTGCTTTCATTCAATTAGTATTTGCACTGATGTCAATTTGGTCATAAGAGTAGAAGGAAAATCAGGGTTTACTCACCACAAGGAGTCCCTGTGGCATCACCTTCCATTCTATAAAGAAGTGAAAGTGCTCCTTCCTTCCGTCTGATTTATGAGAGAGAAAGAGAGAGAGAAGGTTGTAATGTCGCTACTCTAGTCGGAGCGTCCTGGCGAGGAAAGGGGCAACAAACCTGACGTTACTAAGACCCTGGCACGGCAAGCATGATGCCCTCTGCCGCAGGCGCACGGTGGGAGCCCTGGTGGGAGAGGCCGGCAGAGGACACCACCGTCCCGAGGAAGTCGCCGGGAGCCCGCCCTGCGGTGTCAGGAGCCGCACCGGTCACTAAGGACAGAACCAGGGAATCAGGGCGCACATCTAGAAGGAGAAAGAGTGTGTGTGCGCGTGCACGTGTGTGTGTAAACAAAGGCTAAGAAATTCTCAAGCACCTGAACTTCATAGTTGTTCCAGAGAAGAGAGCTTCACAGGAAGTGAACTGTCGAGGGACAAGCCACCACTGCCTCTTTAAAAGGCCCATAAAGCCCCAAACAGGAGGTGTGCCCAACACTGGCGAGGGGCCAGGAAGTGTGCCTGCGCTTATTGTATTTGCTCCAATAGGAAAGGCCCTGCATTTATTGCCTAAACCTACGGCCCGGTTACTGCTGTCTAAAGCGCCCTAGCCAAGTTTTCAAAAATAACTTATTCTTGCCAGCACCAGAGAGTATCATTTTTCTCTATAATCTTCCTCAACTTTTAAGTCAATTGTGACTGAGAATTCTAAACCACAAAATGAAGTGGAACGTTTCATTAGGGTACAGGATTCACAAACATACCAGGTAAATTAGAAACACTTATGGCTGTTTTTTATAAGAAAATTTGGAAACATGATGTCAGATTGTCTCTTTAGATACAGGATGGTCTAATTTTCTGAAAAATAAAATGCTTGCAGTCTTTCAAGAAACACAGCTCATACAATGAATCAAAACTTAAATCCAATTTTGATGTCCTCATTGTTAAAAAAAATTACCTTAGTACAGTAAAAAGTTTCTCAGAAATATTTCTAAACTATATTACCCTATCTGGGAGAGAAGGAATAAATATATAAAAGAATATGAATGTATCTGTTTATTTTATTCTATGACAAAATAAATGGGGGCAAAGGTATTTCAAGATTGTCGACACATTAGCGACAGTCTTCACTGAGTATTCCACAGGTGCTAAGGACCGTGCAAACTTTCCATGAAGCAGCACACCCCTTGCAGACAACACACCAACACCTCTCAAGTCAAGATAAACAGCCTACTAACATCTCAAGGCAACAGTATTTGACAGGACCAAAAACTAGCAAAATGCAAACAGTGGAGCAGTCCTATGAAGAGGGGTTTTGGTGGGGTGGGGATAAGGGTAGGCAGAACTGCCTTGGCCCCCAGGCTTCGTGAAAGGCAGAGTCTCTGTGTACTTAGTTGTCAGTACTTGAAGAAGCTAAAACCAAAAACCCTGGGAAGTACGCAGATTTAAAAACAGGTTGAATGAATACATTCTAAAGCCAAAAATCTGGGGGACTGTCAGCTTTCAAAGCCTCTCCCCAAAGTGGTACTAGATGCAACTGTGCACAGAAGTGGGGAGAGGGCTTCCTATCCCTAGTGAGGACGTGCTATGGAGCCTATAATGATCCAGGGCCTTCTTATTACCTCGACAAAGAATGAAGAGAAGTAACTTTTTTTTTTTTTTTTTAAACAGAAAGAAGACTGAAATATAGGAAAGTGAGAAAAAGAAAACCAAAAATACAATTAACTTCTTTGTCGGTCTCTTTTAATTTCTTCTTATCTCTGAAAAAATCAAGTCAGGCTGAAGGAAAGAGCACTTCTGCTGTCTGAAAAAGATGACACAGGATACAGCTACAGGCAAGACAAGTCACGTGACCTTCAATGGCCGTGGAGACTGCTAGAAGGAAAGCTAGAAGAAGGCAGAATTTGGCTACTTACACATGTTGTAAAAATAAAATGTATTTTGATATTCCTAAAATATTTGAAAGGTCTTAGACTTAAAACTAGCAATAGCTTGGTTAATATAGCTTTTCACATATTTCAAGTTTCAAATACTTCATGCGGTGCTTTTAAAAATATTGCTCAAAAAAAGAGTTTTCTAAACAGCACTCTATCTCTCTCTTATATGCACACTTTCTTCACGTTGATAAAGCACACCTAAGGCACTAAGGCAGTATTTTCACATGCTATATACAGAATTGGCCTACACTCACATAGAGTATGTAAAAGTACTAAAGTCCTGTCATAGAATTCTAACTGTATTTCATCTCATATGTTTATTAATAACAGCATGACATAATTCCCAGGTGATTCATGCTGCAGGAACAGCAAGAGCAGTTAGCACAGGAAACGTAAGGCCTCTCACAAGTTGTGTGTGACAGGCTGCCCTCTAGTGTCATTTTAGGGTATAAAACCTTGAAAAATAAGAAACCGCTAAATGTTAATCTAGGATGAAAGGGTCAGCTCCAGGGATCTTGAGCCACTCACACTTGAGGCATGTGGGGAAGGGGAGGGCAGACCCCAGCTCCCTCCTTCAGTATTCAGAACACAAATACTTCTCTGTGCCTCCTCTGGTGCCCTGCTTCCCCAAGTGACAGGGCTCTACATGTCTTTGAGACAGGTCTTAAAACAAGCCTCAGGTGGCCCTCACCAGTCACTGACTGGGTGCAGGTCGGCTGAGTGCTGACATACCGGGTTCCAAAGGAACCCCTGTGCCAGATAGAACAGGTGTGTCTGTGAAAGCCTCACTTAGGGATGGTGAGAACACGAACAGGCCTTGCACCGCGGACTAGAGAGTAAGCGCGCAGCCGTCCAGACCATGTGCAGTGTGCAAGTCCCTGGAAGGCACGAGACATTCATGCCAGGCAGTTTCTCCTGCCTTTATCCGGTTTGCATGGGTCTGTCCTGGTCCAGCACTTGCCCACGAAGATTTGTGCTTAGGAATGTCTTATTAGATTTTTTTTCTCTGGCCTTCTGAAAAGGTATTTGAAAACTGATTTCATTGAGCCCCCAATGGGGACAAAAGAAGAAGTATATGGGCTTAGGCTTGGTTAGTATTAAATTACTATGCTACAGATGTCTTTGAAAAAAGGTCTGCTAGTAAGAATAAAGTCTTTTCAGAAATTCCCCCAAAGTATAAAGGATGCATAAATATTTTAAAGCAGAGGATTAAATGCCTAAAAAGAATCATTTGTAGCACAATCCACGAGGGTTCAGGAGACCAATGCAGCAATGGGATTTCAATTCTTGTACTGCGTTATGCCAGGCAATCTTAGTATTGTCTTATTTCAGACTTTTTAACATATGATCACCACAATCAATAAATTCTTCCAAATTATACTAGAAGAATGTCTTCCTTAAAACCAATGAAGGCTTGCTTTTTCAAAGGAGCTAAGTGCTAGTTGGGTGCTCACTCACTGTGAAGTATATCCTCACTTATTACTCTTCTGAGACTTAAAAAAAAAAAAAAATCAACATGTAATTCTGTATATTGACCAGTAAGTTTATAATTCAGTTTCCATGGTTAAGCTATGGACTATCATTATACTATATATATATATATATATATCTTATGTACTATGGAACAGGAACCTAATTTATAGCTAAATGAAGCTTGACCACATACTGTCCATTTCAGCATTTGAAACTATCTAGGAATGAAATGTTTTTAGAAGGAAATAAAGGTTAGAAAAGCGACTCAGGCAACGGTGCCAAAAACCACACAGCCACCAACAGTTTCCACACAGAGCAGGGACGGGCTGCCAACCATGCCAAGGAAGCAAGCAGAACCATCCCAACTTGTAACCTCAAGGCCAACAGACCATGAAAATCTAGGTGAGCTCAATGTTTCCAGCCGACTATGAAGTTCCCAGTTTTGGGAAGAAGGAAGGGAAGGGAAAGTGTATTGGTTCCCATGTCCTGTGGCACTGCAGGCAATTGCTGCCCCCCTCAAATCAGGGGGGGTCTCAGTGTCACAGTAACTGAGGCCCAGGCCACCTGAGATGGAGGCGGCGCCCCCGTAGTGAGGGCACCGAGGGGCTTCTGACACCACTGAACCCAGCCACACTTTCCAGGTGCTGGGAAGTCAGGAAATGAAGGCACAGGACGAGTGAGCCCAGTGGCAGCGAGGGCTCTGGCCCAGTTCTAGCCGCTTCTACTCCTCGCCTGCGTTAGTAACACTATTTTAATGGCCAAAGCAGAGAGCTGGTTCAAAATCATTCGGGCAGGGTATAAAAAGTATATAAACATTTCATACAGATATCCCCTGCCTCGTGAAAGCCTGCCTTACACCACATCACTTTCATGAAAGACCTACATTAGTTTAGTGCCTGTTTTTGTTAATTGTAAAGAAACGCGAAGAGGATTTTCACTTTGACAACAAAAAGTGAAAACAGCGTTGCGTGTGTTCTGCAGCCCACTCTTCGAGGCAGCCCACTCTTCAGGGCCAGAGGGCACCCCAGGCTGTGCTTTCACCAGATCGTTCCTGCTCCCACATTAGGGTTCCTTGAGATTTTGCACATTATTTGCTATGATTTGTTAGATAATTTTTGATATCTGGGAATGTGCAAAAATTTTTCCAAAGAATGTAATGATAACTGCTTCTTTGCTTTATGCCATTTGGCTTATGAAAGATTTCAGAGAAACATGCTACCTTCAGGGAAATCTACATATTAACTATTAAAAAGACAAGCTGCACTAATTTATGCATTAAGGGCCAAAGTGTGAAGGAAACTGTATGAATTATGCCTATTCTACAAAATCTATCCAAGTGTTTATTTAGTGTTAACACGAACGAGCAGTAAATACAGCGTGAACGCCCAGGGGGCTCGCGCCTGCAGACTTACCTGAAGCCGTAGCAGGGTAGTGTGAGGAGCCTGAACAGGGCCAGGAAGACTCTCAGGGGAAGCAGAGTGAACACGTACAGAAACGCGTCCAGGCACAGAAAGATGCCAAAAACCATGAGCTGGATGTTAAAAGGAGAGAAGAAAACAAAGCAAAATGTAAAAATAAACATTCTGTAAATAATTGTAGGTGAAAAATTCAAATTGTCAAGGCAAGTGGAAAGTTCATTTCTTATAACTGAGCTATGGGAATAATGTTAGTAGTTCTTCTTGGGGTAGAAGCCATCATTTCATGAAAATCCTTTTTCAAAGTTCAAGTCAGTAGATGTTCTCCCCGCCCCTCTGGCCTGCCCTGACAGAAGCCAATCCCTTGGAGTCCAGCTGCCCGCCACGCTCCAGGAGACGCCTGATGTGCCTTCCGGGAGTGTCCTCAGGCGTGACAGGTATGACAGGAAACCTTTCGAGTAAAACATTTTAACTAACTTCATTCATAATTTTGTTGTTACCTATTCATCGGAATGCTTCATGGATGGGGAAAAAAATGGAGTAGGTTGACTTAAAATAGGGTTTGTGTTAAAAATATGTAAAGTGATTACTCATTTTAACACAATTTCACTTTGCCTCCAACTTGTCCTCTGCCGGCATCGAGCATACCTGGAGCTGCCAGCGTTTGTATCTCTCCCCTTTTCGTGTGTATGAGCCACACCCCTATTTTTTGGATAACATTATACATTTTTACACATTAAAAGCTTAGGACTAAATTTCACAGAGGGAGGGTGGGGCCCTGGGAATCTGCAGAAGGACCAGGCCCAGGCTGCAGCAAGAAGGGGCCTCCTGTGCCTGACGGCAGCGCGGAGGGGCCACAGATATTGCCCAGTGACAGCGCCTGGAGCGGTCAGCACGACAGATCTCAGGTCCAACGATGGAAGGAAATTCAGTCAGGCGGAAAGAAAGCTCTCAGGTCTGTGAGAACATGTAACAGAAGAAAAGTGATCGAAATACCTTTCAGGATTTGGAAATGGGGAGAAGCGCCTGTGATGTGACACCTTCCCCTGAAGCAGTGTTCTTTCAAATTCTTTACAGATAAAATAAGAAAATTTCCTAAAAAGTTAAGGAGGTGATCCTGAGATGCTTGTCCTTGAAGAGGGAATGAACCCGGGGGCGGGGGCGGGGGGGGGGAGGGGAGGGGCGTGGGCAAGCCTAGGCCCCAAGGGGAGCAGTGCCAGCTGGCTCAGGGAGCTGGTGAGTGTTGACTACCTAAGCCCCCCTCTGGGAGGGAGTGATTATCATCCCTGCTTGACACCCAAGGGTGCCACGGCCCTGGGAGCCGCAGGCTGTGGTCAGAGCAGAGGAGCTGGGTCAGTCAGACCCCAAACCCCACAAATTCTTTGAAGTGTGTGAGCAGAAAGCAGGTCTCACTTTTCCGGGGCAGAGGGCGCACATATAACTTTCTTTCTGCTCATTTGTCTTTTGCCAACCTGCCTAGCCGACAAAACGCAGAAATAATAGGTATTTAGTGACTCAAACTTACAAAAAGGCAGAAAAAGCTCACCTATTTAGATTTATTGCTGGCTCTGGAAATATGTTAAGAATGCAAAGCTTTGCGGGTACATTATTAATGAGAATGACGTGCACTACCACACCATCTCCCGTGAATGTGTACGGCAGCTTGAAACACTAGGTGATTATCACATGCTTTTTACTTGAACAAAATAACCATGAGGTATTCAAGCTGCCCTAGGACTCTCTGAAGATTTGCCCTGAAAGTGACATGCCCTGTCAATGCCACTTGATATTTCCAAGTAAATAAAATTTCTTTTTTTTTCTTTTTTCTTTTTTTAAAAGATTTATTTATTTATGCATACAAGAGCTGGGGTACAGGCCAGAGATGCAGGGGTGAGAGGATTCACCAGAGACACAATGGGGAACAGAACAGGCAGATCAACTGAAATACACTGCCGCAGGGAGCAGCGGGTGAGACAGGAGGGGTCTGCTGCGCCATGTGGGTAGCTCCCTGGCCAGTTGGGGATCAAAATTGTGCTGCAGAGGCTGCGGACAGCCTCATTAAGTAAAAAGAATTTCTTTTAATCAAACATGATATGAAAATGCTCCTGTAAGTCAGGGGTGAAGACCTGCGCTCCCAGCCGACATCTCACCTGCTGTGTCTCCTCTCCTCACCCTGCGGCTCCTTTGCCTCTGGGTGAACTTGGTATCTCACTGTACACTATCTCACCTTCCCTAGGGAAGGCCTTTTAGTGCCTATATCATCTCTTTGTTTTGATATAAACAAAAATAGAAATCAAAGTATGTTGAAGGACCAAAGCACAGTGAAGCTGCCCCGGGAGAGTCACACACTGCACTGGGTACCTCCATTCTGTGGCGGACCTGCGTCTTCCCAGGGATAGGAGACAAATGCCACATGTAGTTTTATGTGATAACTCCTAGGTCTTAAGTAACTTGCCTTATTTAAAAAAAAAAAGAAAAAAGAAAACTTTCCAGGGCAGACACATCCTTTGGTTTGATCTTCCTTCACTCTTTTAATCAAATATTTATTGTACAGCCCTAATGGGGCAGAGACTGACAACTGAATAAAACACATTCACTGTTTTAAAGGTCATGCAAAGGAGCTTAGAGTCCAAAGAAGATTCCATCTCTGATACCCACCCCGCTCAGAACACACTTTACCTTGAGATTCATACTCACATCCACACCCAAAACCCAAAGGAGAAGTGTCACAAATTAACTTTTACTCCATGAAATGTAAGTTGACACTTTCTATTTCTCCTTTAGAAAGAATGCTGGCCTCACTGAATTCCTGACCCTTTAACAAAACTTCTGGGCCTTCCTTTAAGGACATTTGAAATCTTAAAATAGTAATAGCAACATCATCTACAGCTAAGAGGGAGGCATGACATGCTTGGAGACTGGCTCCGACTACATGGCTATCCGGCTGCCCGAGAGCCTGCAGAACCAGGAGCTCCCCCGAGTGGAGGGCGGCAAGACTGCTGTGCCGGTTGGGAATCTCCAGCAAGCAGGGATCTACGCTGGTGTGAAGGTGATGGCGCTCAGTTCTATACTGGTGGGGCTAGGGGTGCATTAGGACATTAGAAAAGGGACCTTTCCCAGGGAATCCACAGTCTAGTGAACTGGACAGACCAAGTCCTGGTTGAAAGCCATGCCCCATAAGGGCACTGGTGAGGAGAGCAGGTATGTGGAGTGACCGTGTGTGTGTGTATGGGTGTGTAGGAGAGAAAGAGAGAACACACCTGGCGGAGGCAGGAGAGGAATCAGCAAAGCTCTCCTGCAGAGGGGACAAGATGGGCACCGGGTCCTGCCAGGCCTAGGGTAGAGGAGCAGGATCCCAGACCAAGGGCAGGGCAGGCACAGGTGCAAGGCAAGCGGGGGGCTATGTGGCAAATGTCATCATCACAAGAGGGACAGACACTGTCCTCAGTAACCACTGAGTTCTCCATTGTTCTGGAAGTTCTCAATAATCCTACCTGCAGAGATTAATTATTATTAGAATGAGTTGTTATTACTAAGTTTACAAACACCCGATTTTGAAAGCAATTACAACAGATTCAAGTTCACCTCTATAATAGTGATTTTTATTCATGTGGATTCAAATGTTTGTACCCCCAGGAGGTCTGCCTTCTAGAAGACAGCACACAGGCCCATCACTAGGAGCCTGGCAATGTTGACGGGCCAGGTGACATTCACATATGTAACCAGGAAAACAGACACGTGATAGAGGCTGGATCATAACCACAGCCTGCAGCTGACATGTACTTATCGAGATAGACACATTTACTTGAGGTGAATCAATCACTCAGTGAAGGTTTTCATGTGAGGAAGACTATGCACACGGGCAGGTCTGGAGATTTTGTTGCTTCTCTTTCTTCTAATCCACTTTGAGGTTGTTATATTCGAAGCAACTGATGCCTGTTAACATATTTAATCCTCACAACAACCCTTGAGACGGGGACCATAACTTAGTGTTCTGAAGGGATGCATGGGCTGGGGAGGCCTGCTGCGTGGTGGGAACAGTGCTCAGGGCTGGCTGCTCCCCGAAGGCTCCATGCGCCTGAGAGTCACGAAGCAGAGGGGAGCAGCCACCGCAGGGCCATCGTGACATACCTTTAAGGTTCAAATCTATTTTCTGGGGGCGTGATCAGTGGCACTGCAGTAGGCTGCGAGTAAGCAGAGAAGACAGGGAGGATACTAAGGCCTGCGTGACAAGCACAGAGAAACACAGCAGCTCAAGACTGTCTCCAAAATCCAGCGTGACAGAGTAAGCTGCCGACTCCAAAGGACAGCCCTCCAGTCCAGGTTCGCCAGGATTTTTTAATACACCAGTGACTGGGACGCAGGCCTGGGGTCTTTGGCCAGCTGCCCTGGACAGTGGGTCCCACGGACCACAGGGAGCGGGACCCATACTGGGCATGGAGGCCCTGTGCGCCTGCGTGGCTCCCCATCACACCGGCCCTGTGGCTGAAGGGCACCACTGCCACTGCTACCATGCGGTCCGGTGCCCAGAGTCAGAAGGGAGAATGCTGCAGAGCGAATGTGGGAGTGTGTGTCACACGACTCGCAGGAATGGGAGGGCTGGCAGGCAAGGTGGTGGAGATGCCGGGATCAAGGGCTCCCCACTGCTTTCCTGCTTGCCACCAGCTGCCTAGTATGATTTCTGAGTCAGGGTATGATGAACAAGAGCTACATCATGAGAGAATCTGAGGGATGACCCCCCAAACATGTTCTCATGAAATGAAGAGCGCAGTGAGAGGTCAGCAAGTTGGCATGACAAGGGCCCGGGTGACAGCCTCTTGTCTGTGGTGAGACCCCAGGGCTATTTTGCTGACATAAAGGTCAAATTGTGGCTCTGACCACATTTTCTTAACACATATCTCACCCTGAGAATCAACAAAAAGGCTTTATATTACAGTCTCATTAAGCGCATTATTTTGAAAGGAACTCTGAATTATTTCTAAATGTTACCTCCTCCCTCGTGATATACATAAAATAGCCCTTTCTGCTTTCACCCCAAACCTCTGTTGCTGTAGATAAACTCATTCACGGGGTCACACACTGGCAGCCCTCTTTAGATAACCTGGTCCAGCCTTCT